AACCTGCACCAACACGCCCATCCCAGACTTTACCTCAGAGACCACCTTTTGCATATAACCGACCTCCTAAACTTCCAGTAAGAATTCCTCGCCCCACAATTCGGGCACCTTCTGGTCAACTTCTGAAACAGGTTGCTGGACCAGTCCTTGGTCCACCTCCAGGAATTACTTGGATACCATCCAGTGACATACCCAATAGACCAGCTGCAATTCAGCCAGACTCAGCACTGACCTGGGTTCCAGCAAATCTTCCTGATAGGCAAGATAACAGTGAAGCACTCCTTTTTGTAGATGAAGATCAACCAGCAAAGCAGATTCACAATGATACAGTAGGAATTGATGTTAAACTAACTGTTCCAACTCCTGTTTTAGAATCTGAAAATAAAGACACAATATTGGTCTTAGCAAAAGATGAAGTGAAACACTTTGTACCAGAGACTATTATTCTTTCTGAAGCAGAATCTGTTACACCACCTTCTTCAGAACATAATACTTCTTCCTCAAAACAAGTGGAAAATGTAGATGAGGATTCAGGCATGTCTCAGAAACAAATTGAAAACACAGCTTCAGCTACTTTATCATTGCCAGAAAATGACAACTTATCACCTGTTCTAAAAGCAGTGACAGCATTAAGGACAGATGAAATTCAGGAAGAATCTGATGTTCAACTTGTTGAAGACACCCTAATACCTCGGAATGCTGGAGACACAATAAAACAACCTGTTGCCGATGTCATAACAGGCCAATCTTCCAAGGATACTTCTGATACACTCATTACTGATCCTGTGGAAAATACTCCCGAACAACCTGTGAGAATTGTTAGGCTCCCTTTCCGTCCACCATTCCCACCAGATAATGAAACTCAGTCAGTCAGGGTGCCTATAACTTCTGCACAAAGTTTCAGGCAATCGGTTAGGAAGCCACCTCGACAACGTCCACCTCCTACTGGATTTTTCCAGTTTCAGCGTCCTCCTCCATCATCTGCTAAGCCAGCAACACCTGCTAGACCAATTCAACTCCTCTCTACATTATCTGTTCAGCCATCACCACTGCAAACACCTGTTCAGCCACCTCCACTGCGGTCACCTATTCAGCGACCACCACCACGATCACCAGTTCAGCCACAATTACCGGTCAGGACTGATAATGCACCACCTACCCCCTTGTCTCCTCAACCCAAACCACCTGCTCCTCACTCAGATCCTAGGCTATCTACACAATCCACATCTCGTCCACTAATTTCTATACCATCAGCACAAACCCAGCCTTTTGTAGCTAATATTAAGAGCAAAAGTGATGCTCCAATACAGGGTGTCTTACCCCAGTTCAATCCAGCTAGTGGTCTTCAGTTTACTCTTATTAAGCCCTCAGAAATATCAGATGAAAATAATAATCGAGATATCTCTCCACAATTTAATCCAGAAATTGGCACAACTTTTGCAGGGGAGATTAAAGCAAACAGAAACAGGTCTACAACTGTACAGAGTGTGTTGGAAGATATTGTGCAGATATCTAAACCAGATCCTTTCAGAATCATTTCTGGGCCATCCCTTTCTAACCAATCTTCAAGTAACAATCAACCACCAGAAGATGAATTGCTACCATCAGTTCCTGAAGAGCAAGTTTTCTTACCAGCTATAACAGTTGTATCATCAGTGAATTTTAATAAGCAATCCCCTATTATGCTAGGTAGTCAAAATCTTTCAGAAGAGAAAGTAGAAAGTGAAGTGAAAGCTACAGCTATTAATGAAGAAACAACTGAAATGACACTACCTATAATGAACATATTTGATATTGTTCCCATCACCAACTCACCTGTAGAAACAAACACATTGTCTGAAGTTACTTCTTCACCATCATCAGTTAACACAACTATACCAGTGTTAAATACAACTACTGTTATACCAGAAGTCATCACAGAGGCACAGCCTTCATCCACAACAGAGAAGTCATCCACTCATACTGTTATTGAAGGTAATGCCAAACCTAAAGATCGTGAGGTTGTTCTTAATAAACATAGTAACAGTAATATAACAAATATACTAGCTGGTGGATTTCAGCTAACATCCTCTGATGATGTAACAGAAATGCAGAAAGTCCAGAATTCTAGCAAACAAGAGGTGTTGTCATTGGCAGGTCCTGGTCCCATGAAGCCAATCCCACTGGACTCTCCACAGCAATCAGCTGTTGATGAGGAAATGACACTAAAGCCAGGAAGTGTTCCAGTACAGCCTATTCAGATCCCTGAGATAGATGACCTGGAGGATGATCTTGATGCTGTAGTATCATATGTAGCATTACTGCACAGAGCAGTACCTCCTCTAAATCGAAAACCAACAATAGAACCTAGTAAAGGCAGTACAGAGAAGAAACAGGAGCTTCCCAAACCAACCACACCTCAGCTTCCAGTCCACATAAGGCCTATTCCATCTGGGGCATTCATTCCAGGAATAGGTTTAGCCAAGAGACCAGGTGCAGTGCCGATCCGAATAAATAATCTGAGTAACCTTCCACCAGATGCCATCTTGGTTAGGAGACCAGGACCACCACCCCAAACACTGCAAGCAAGACCAGGACCACCACCCCCAACACTGCAAGCAAGACCAGGACCACCACCCCCAACACTGCAAACAAGACCTGGACCACCACCCCCAACACTGCAAGCAAGACCAGGACCACCACCCCCAACACTGCAAGCAAGACCAGGACCACCACCCCCAACACTGCAAGCAAGACCAGGACCACCACCAACATTGCTGGCAAGACCAGGACCACCGACACAGCAAACACGACCAGGACCGCCACCACCAACAATACAAACCAATGTTCATCCATTATCAAATGGACAGTTTAGACCTGGAATAATCTTTACACTTGATGAAGCAGGAACACCTCATTTCTCACCATTACCTCCTAGACCACAGCCTTTGCCACCTCAGCCACCTATACCAGAGACTCAATCTCAAAGCCAAGCATTGCCAGAGAGACAGATTTCTTCCTCTGATCAAAAACCTGATGATTCTTCACTAAGACAGCCAGCTGATGACCAGCCACCTTCCAATGTTGAGACCCAGACTTTTGTCAGGCCTACACAATCCCAAGAGGACCTAGACTCTGAAGTTCCAGAGGTGAATGATAATTCACAATCATCATTAATAACTCTAGAAATAACAGAAACCAAGCCAACATCACAATCATCAGAACTCTTTTCTGCTGCAAGACCTACATCACAAAGACCTGAAATACTTCCATTACCCAATCGTCCAGTTCCGATGAAATCTGAAATACCACCCCCACCTGTAAAGCCAGTTTCAGAGAGCCCTAAAACAAAGCCAGTGATACTTATTCCAACTATACAAAAAACAGAAACTGATCTAACCCCACAAAATCTCGAAATCAGACCACCACCACAAAGCCCAATTCTTCAAAGGCCTGAATCACAACTGCTACAACGACCATCCCCACAAAGACCTGAAGTGCTACTATCTTTTCAACCTATTTCACAAACATCTGAAGCACAACCACTACGTCCATTCCCCCAAAGACCTGAGTCACAACCAACATCTCCAGCTCTACAAACAAATGCTGAATCTCAGCCACAGAGACCTGAAACAAAACCACCACCACAGTTGATTTTACAAAGACCAACTCCACAAAGGCCAGGAATCTTGCCTCCAATTCAAAGACCACCCCTAAAACGACCTCAGACACTACAAAGACCAGGAGTGCCACCTGCAGATATGCTGCCCCCACCACGACCTTTTCCAGGGGTTCGGCCAAGACCTGAAACTACACAACGCAGACCAGACACACAATCACCTGCTTTGAGGCCACAGTTCCTTGCAAGGCCTCCCACAGGACCATTTTTCCGACCTGGTGTCCCTACAGAAAGTCCACTACGTAGACCTGTTGTTTCTACACAACAATTCCAGCCATCTCAGCCTACCATTCCATTTTCACAAGGGAAACTAAGCTTCCAGGAAACATTAAAGCCTCAGCTAGTAACAGATGATTTTAGACCACTTACTCCATCACCTGAAATCCCCCTTGCAACAGAAAATGAACAGCCCCAATCAAACCAGTTCATTCGTGGAGATAATCAAAAACTCATTGATGACATCATTGGCTCTCTCCCAGATTTTTTGAAGGGATCAGTCAAAATAGACCAAACAAATTTAGGTGCAGAAAATACTGTATCAGTTAGCAACAGCTATGGGAATGTTATTTACCAAAAAAGAGGCATTACTTACATAGACCAAGTGCAGTAGACTTTTAGGTTAGTATTAATATAAATGATAATCTGTTGTCAAGTGATGTGATTCTTTGTAATCAAGTGGAAATATGTGCATTACTAACAGTTTTGTCACTGAAGAAAGTACAAAACATTTAGTGTCACACTGTGTAAGACTTGTATATACTATTAACAATTTTTTTTCTATTTCCTAATACAAAGGATGTGGCTGAACTTTAAAATTTATAAATGTTAATGTGTTTAATGTTTTATACATAATAAATTTCACAGGTCAAATAGTCTTTTTTTAATTACTGTCAAAGAGCATGTCAACTCTTACCTAAGATTACTTTACATATAGTCCTATTCAAGCTGCAGGTATGTCATAATTACTAATGTTATCATACAGTATTAGTAAATTCAGTAAACAATAAAATATCAATATTTACCAAGTTCTAATTTAGGTAGATCATACAATTCAATATTTTATACTTCATCATACAAAGCAATTATGAGAAGAAAGCAATTATGTATACATAACTTGGAAAATTGTGTAATGAATATACAATGAACCAGGAATAATTGCATTGATTTCTAGCACTTGAAATATTATTAGATTACCAACTTTTACATATACTTCATAGTTTTATAATGTAAAATAAAGCTTGCAATTGTTGTGCAAAAAAAATATAGTGAAAATAATGTTTCCTCATAAATCAACCATTCTTCAAAATTCACTACTGAAGGATGCAATAAAAATATCATGATA